ATATCATTTAGCATTTTTCTCATCCTACCAGAAAAACATGTCCTAGAAGGAAAATATAAGTATCTCCCTCTTGCAGGTACTCTGAATTATTGATGAGCTGGGGCTGAGTACTGAGGGAACACTCACGGGAAATCTTTGCTCTGCTTTTGATTGAGATGAGATAGGGGGATTTGATGACTATTTTAGTGTATAGCAACCTGTTTGCATAAGCAAAGATTATGTTTGGCTGTGAGTAAGACAGATAGACCCAGAAGGACAGTGGTTCAACCAGGAAAAATTTTCTATGTCACATAAAATTCTGGAGGTTGGAAGTTTAACCCTGGCTTTATGGCTGTGCTCCAAAGCCCTCCAGTGCATCTTATTCAAATCCAGGCAGCAGAATGGAGGCATGGAGGAAGAAAGCAAAGGGGATGAACCAGGCACATTTAAGGAAGGTTCCCCAAATTGCCACACAATTCCAGTTATCTCCAATTGGCCATAAGTGAAAATCCATGGACCAATAAAGTAGAGAAAGACAATCATGATCCTAAGTGGCTCCAAATGAGCAAATAAAAAAAAGAGATGGTTCTTTTATTATTGGAAGAAAGGGAGATGAATATTGGGAATAATTAGCAGACTTGGCCCCTAATTAAAATACCAATGATGGAACCCAACTTCCTGGACACAAGTACTGGTACAAAATATCTAGCAGGCTGGAATTAGATAATTGAAATGTGGGCTTACAGGTATACCTTACAGTGTTTAAGATCTTTTTGGAATTTTTGGTCTCTCCCATCCTATTGATCACTATGTCCTGCTGATTCTACTTAACATATGAAAAATATTTGACATTTTTCTACCATCACAGCTGTAGTGGATCTTCCTTATGTCCAATCTGGATTATTGCAATAACTAATAATACTGCAGATACCTTGCATTCAGTTTTTTTTCTCTCATTCCCACACTATGTCTAATATATTCTGTATTACCACCAGATTGAACTTTGTAAGACACAAGGTTAGTGTGACTGAAGAACTGACTTTTAAATTTTATCTAATTTTAATTAATTTAAATCTAAATTTAAAAACTGAAGCAGTGTCAAATATTTTCCCATCACTGACAACTTTGTTTTGGTAAGACTGCATTTCACTTCAGTCACTGCACTGCATAGATATTTGTATTATACTGTGCATGTTGTATGTATATGTTGTGTCTAACATCACACATAAACACATCACTGATCTAGTTGGTGTCGAGAAATTGATGTATTTATTTGAATATTTTATGAAGACAACATGAATTACACTGATATGAAGGAAATAATTGGTAACTAAGTTACTTTAATTATCATTAAATTAGCATTCTAGGTTTAAAAAATAAATATGTACATTTAAAATTTTTTAAATGAAAGCATACTACTAATGCAGAATCAAGTGGAGTAAGTACTATGGCCAGAATAGTTAAAAATAAGAGACTGGAAGAAGATATACTGTGAATTTCATGACAAACGACAACTGCAATTTGCTGTGACAGAGCAAATCAAAAAAGCTGTTTGATTATGGAAAAAAAGAATATTTAAGTTAATGAAGTGGAAAATATTGTGAGACATTTTCAGCAAATACTAGTAAATTTGATGAGGAATTTCCTCTTGATAAGCAGATAGGAATAGATGAAATTAGTTGCCTAAAATCTGAATTAAATGTGCAACGAGAACTTTAAGTAAATTTTAAACATAATCTGAGCTTAAAACTCTGTCTAGCTATAAAATGGCTTTGGGTCTTGCCCCAAAAAAGGAATAAAATTTTAGATGGAGAGATAGCAAGATAAGTGATTAGTTTAATTGTGGAAATTTTATTATGATTTTATGAACAAAGACTAAAAATTATATTTTATAAAAAGTGAAAAGAATCTTCAATTAAGCCACCCAACAACTGCCCTTAGAGTACAAGGTCTTTCTAACAATATCAAAAATCAATTAACTTAAAATTTGTAAAGCTACTTTAGTTTCAGATGAGTTGTACAATATGAGATACTGCCCATTTAATCTCTGGGTACATTGTATCACAAAAGGCTTCCAAATCAAAAGGAAATTTTATCAATTTGCAGCCTAAAACATCAGATTCATAGCACAGATATTTTTGAATTTTTTATATATGTCAAAAAACAGTTTCCACTAGGTATGAAAAAAAATAATTTCTATCACAATGGATAGTGCTCCGACAATGTTACACTAAAAATGTGGATTCCTTGGAATTTTAAGGCAAGAGACTAACGTCTTCCTAATTGCTTTGCTTCACAGTATGAAAAGTAATGGTTTAGAATATACACATAAATATTATGAATCATTATTACTTTATGGAACTGTTGAAAGAGGAAACAATGAATTTATTTATCTTATGTTTTTTGCCAATGCTTATTGGTTGAATGATGACAGAGTTTTACAAAGATTTACCATACTTTGAACTTTGAGCCTTAAGAGAAATAGTTGCCAAGTATTTCATAATCAACCCCCCTGCAAATGACAATGTGATTTATGTTTTCTTACCATATCATGCTGCATATGAACAAACAAAACCTGAAACTCCAAGGAAAGGAAAAGCTTTTCTTGTGACCTAGCTAAAAGGGTAGGAACATTTGTTGAAACTGAAACTTTTAATAAGCTAATGAAAATAATTTTACATATTTTCTAGATGAATCAACATAGAAAAAATTCACTGTAATCAAAAGTACTGTAAAAATATGCTTGCAATGAAGAAGTAGGAAATCTTAGTAAAGAAACAGAAATTTTACAAAAGTACTAAAGAAAAATTCTAGAATTGAAAAATGCAATATCTCAAAATACACATTTGCTAGATAAGCTTAACAGCAGAATTGAGAGGACAGAAAAAAGAATCAGTGAGCAATAGAAATTATCCAATCTGAAAAACTGAAAAAAAAAAGGTTGAAGATAAATAACACAGCCAGTGACCTGTATGACAATATCAAAATATTTAACATATGACTACTTGGAACCCCAGAAGGAGAAGTAAGGGCAGAAAAAATATCTGAAGATATAATGGCCAAAGTTTTCTGAAATTTAGTGAAAGGCATGAGTGTACAGATTTCAGAGGCTCAGAGAACCCCAAAAAGGATTAACACAAAGAAAACTATACCAAGGTACATCATGCTCAAACAGCTGAAAATTAAAGGTAATAAGAAAATCTTGAAAGCACAAAGAGGGAAATGACACATTACACACAGAGGAAAAATAATTCAAATGACTTCTCATAACCTATAGAGGCCATCAGTCAGTGATATAATATCTTTCTTTAAAAAATATAAAACAAAACCCAGGATTCTATAGCAAGAAAAAAAAATCCTTCAGGAACAAAGCATATCAGTAAAAGAAACAATGAAAAGTCACCACCAGCAAACATATACTCTAAGAAGTGCTAAATTAAGTTCTTCAAGCTGAAGGGAAATGATACCAGATAGAAATTTAGATCATTGGGAAGGAATGAAGATCATGTGAAAAGGTAAATATGTGGGTAAATATGAAAGATGATGGTGTTTTTTTGGTCTTAATTTCTTTAAAAATACACAAGACTGTAAATTTCCAAGTGGAATGGCGATGTGACTTTCTGTGGGCTACTTAATTGCAAAAAACAAAAAAATCCCCCCAAAACTAGTACTGATACAATGGAGAGAGCTGGTGGTCAATACATGAATCAAGAGATCAAACATAGCTTCACTATGTGCCACCTGTTATTTTACAATATTGAGTACACAATATTATCTATGAAGTTATCATGTCAAAAATGTTTAATCTGAAACCTAATCAAGCCTCTAGACATAACATCCAGTTCAGAATAAATGTGAGGGATAGAGAAACAACTTAAGCCCACTCAGAGAAAAATTAGTACAAATACAGAATGTGCAACATTATATGGTTACTTCTCCTGAGTCTTCAAAAAGTTTGTCACAAAACAGGTAGAGGATAAGTGTTTGACCAAAAGAGACTCAATAGCCATAATCATATAAAATATGTGACCTTAGTATGGTTTTAGGCTTTAAAAAAAAAAGCCAGAAAAAATAAAATAAAATAAAATAAAAAGCCAGCACTTTCAAAAGACATTCTTTAAAAAATTGGAGAAGTCTGTAAATGGGATGAATATTACAGAACATTATAGGTCTGCTGTTGTTTTTTAGGTGACATTGGCTTAGTGGTCATGTAGAAGATAATCTTTAAATCTAGCAGTTGTATTTTTTTTTTTTTTTTTTTTTTTTTTTTTTTGCGGAGCACAGGCTCCGGACGCGCAGGCTCAGTGGCCATGGCTCACGGGCCCAGCCGCTCCGCGGCATGTGGGATCTTCCCGAAACGGGGCACGAACCCGCGTCTCCTGCATCGGCAGGCGGACTCTCAAGCACTGCGCCACCAGGGAAGCCCAAGCAGTTGTATTTTTGAGTTGTATGTTGAGTATTTTTAGAGGTGAAGTGATACCTAAAACATTCACTCAGAAGGCACAGCAAAATTATATATAGCATATATATATATATATATATATATATATATAATGTATGATATATGTGAATCTGTATATATACATTTTCATGAGAGAGAGAGAGATACTAAATATAGGTGGAGGGTAAATAAACCTTCATTGTACCATTGTTGTACCTTTTATGTAAATTTGACATTTTAAAAATACTTGAGGAAATCTTCTCCAAGTCAACATCTGTCTTTTGGCTACCCATTGTTAATCTCTAATTTCCATGAATTGTAGGGAATGTGGATTGTATGTTATCTGTATTATAGAAATTATTATTAAAAATTTTCTTCAAACCACTTTCCAATTTTTCAACAGCTTTACTCTCAATATTCAGCAAAAGCATAGGGTTTCTTACCATTATTAATCTTCAGGGGGATGAGCTTTGAATAAAAGTTTCTTGTTTAAAACATTCTATGGGATTTTGTCCAGAATTAATTATCTGAAATGAAATATGGATGAGTGATGATAGATTTTTAAAATATGCTCACAGGGTCTTCCTTCCACATGAATTTATTTATAGTAATACTAGTAATTATCATTAAAGAATGATACAATATTTAGTAAGCAAATACTCTGTGCCAGATGTCCTTCCAAAAAATCATATTTTATGTTAAATAATTTAATCTTTACCATATTGTTAGGTGGTAGAATAGTGATAATGTTAGAGGATGTGTCATGGCTAAAGGCTTTCTGACTCTCATTACATTAAGACTTTCTCGCCAATGTGAAATCTTTCATGTTGAGTAAGTTGATAGCAACGAGTAAAGGCTTTCCCACATTCCTTACATTTATGTGGCTTCACACCAGTATGAATTCTCTGATGCTGAGCAAGTCGATCACTACGATTAAAGGCCTTACCACATTCTTTACATTCATAAGGTTTTTCACCAGTATGAATTCTCTTATGTTGAGAAAGACCTGAGATAGAACGGAAGGCCTTCTTACATTCTTTACATATATATGGTTTCAAACCAGTATGGATTGTCTGATGATAAATTAGTTGAGAATTAAGTCTAAAGGTTTTTCCACATTCCTTACATTCATAAGGTTTCTCCCCGGCATGAATTGACTGATGTGTTTTAAGGTCTCCAACACGACTGAAGGCTTTCCCACATTGTTTACATTCATATGGTTTCAAATCACTGTGAATGATCTGATGTTGAATAAGGTAAGAATGGAGCTTAAAAGTCTTCCCACATTCTTTGCATTCATGGGGCTTCTCGCCAGTATGAATTCTCTGATGTTGTGTAAGTTGAGAGCCTCTACAGAAGGCCTTCCCACATTCCTTACAATCATAGAGTTTCTCGCTACTATGAATTCTCTTATGTTTAAGAAGGCTTGAGCCCCTACTAAAGGCTTTTCCACATTCCTTACATTCATGAGGCTTCTCACCAGTATGACTTCTCTGATGTTCAATAAGTAGATAACTGCGAACAAAGGCCTTTCCACACTGTTTACATTTATATGGTTTCTCACCAGAATGAATTTTCTTATGCTGATAGAGACTTGAACGATGACCAAAGGCCCTTCCACATTCCTTACAAATATAGGGTTTCACACCATGATGAATTTTCTGATGGAGACACATATGTCGGTACAACCTAAAAGTTTCCCCACATTCCTTACATTTGTAGGGTTTCAAACCGATATGAATTTTCTGATGTTCAGTAAGGTGAGAATGACGTCTAAAGGCCTTCCCACATTGCTTACATTCATAGGGTTTCACACCAGTATGAATTATCTGATGTTGAATAAGCTGTGAATAAAACCTAAAGGCCTTCTCACATCCATTACATTCAAAGGGTTTCAAATCAGTGTGACTTTTTTTATGTCTAATAAAATGCTGGAGAACCATAAAGACCTTTCCACATTCCTTACATTCATAGGGTCTTACACCACTATGGTCTTTCAGATGTTCAATAAGGTATGAATATTTCCTAAAGCCCTTTCTACATTCCTTACATTCATATGACTTCTCTTTAGTGTGAGGTCTTTGATGTAGAGGAAGGGATATATGTTTCCTGAATATCATTTGATTAAAATATCCCATTTTAGGTTTCTGTTGTCTTTCAAATTTAGTTCTGTTCTGTGAGTCATTTCTGAAAATAAACGCCATAAAGTTGAAGGTTTTACTTCTATTCATTGTCTCCCGATGGTAAGAATTTACTTCATAACTGCTTTTTTCTGAAGATAATTTGTTGCTCTCACTTGTGAAATCAATGTCTGAAAGAAAATGAGAGAACAAACAAATGCTATTTTTCTTGTACAAGGGGAAATATAGTAAGAAGAATAATAAATTGACAAGTATATCCATCATAAGTAAAAGGGTCATAAAATTCTAAAATAATGTGATGAAATTTTTTAAAGGCAAGAGGGGCTCAGAAAATTATTAAAGCTAACATGAGAATGTAAAGTTTGTGAATAGGCGAAGAGAAAAATCAGTAGTTCTCATATTTATTTGTGGATCAGTATTACCACAGGAATTTCTTATATATACAACCCTTCTTTTTTGAGGGAGGTGAAGCAGAAAAGAATAGCTTTATTTGCTTTGCCAGGCAAATGGGGCAACAGCAGGCTAATGTCCTCAAAACTGTGTGTGCCAACCTGGAGGGGGGTAGTGAGAAGTTTTATAATAATGGTTCAAAGAGGGCGTGATCAGCTCATGTATATACTACCCTTTAGATATCCACTGAGACTGAGTGAATCAGAATCTGTGAGTAGGTCCTGGTCATCTACATTTTTAATATTCTCTACCAGATGGCTCTCTATATAATTTTTTCAATGGCCTGTCTATATCTTAGAATGAAACCCAAGCGCATAACCATAAATAAGACTCTGTCTTACTTCTACAAATTCATTTCAAGCCCTTAACATCTTTTCCCCTATATCTGACCACACTGCATCTTTTCAGCTACTAGAACATATTGCAACTTTTCCCATTGCCTGTGGCTTCACATGGATGCTTTACCTTGCAGGAATCCTCTTAGGTGGCTTCTCTAAATGACTATCTCCAGGTGTTGCAGGTTACAAATCACTTCCTCAGAAAGGCTGGCTCTGCTAACTGTAAGTAAATTCATATCCTTTATTCTATATTCCAACATCTAATTCTTTGTCCTCATGATGCTTTTCTCTTGTACATATTTATTGTCTCATTTGTTTTACTACTTATTTTCTTACTCTAAAGCTCAAAGTATGGATTCAAAATTTCTTTCAACTACCACTGAAAAACAAGTCCTACCACAAGGTAAGTATTAAATAATGAACTGTAGAATAAAATAGTGAATTAAAAAAGGTAACTTGGATGAAAATCAAGGTAAGCAAGGATAAAAATCAGGGTCAGTGGAGAAGGCAACTGAGTAAAATAACGATCTAGTTTCTGAAAATTATGTAACTATCTCAACTACCTCTCTCTGACTCTAATCTCTCACACTTTATTGCCTCAGTAGCAGGGCCAAATTAGCCCTAGACTAAAAGCTGTTCTGGACCCAGCTTAATAGAGCTTAAAAGCAAACCATGAAAGGATCAACAGGTCTCATTTACTGAATCCCAGAACAAAGTCCCCGAATCCAGCATTCCAACACAGTAAACGTTGCAATGTCTGGCACCTAATACAAAAATTATCAGGTATGCAAAATAGTAGGAAAATATAACCCTTCCTAGGAGAAAAATCAATAAAAAGAAACAGAGCAAGGAGTGACACAGATAATAGAATTAGTAGACAAGGATATTTAGAGAGCTATTATAAATATACTCTGTATTTTCAAGTAGCTATTTTCTAGTCATCTCTTACTTTTCTGTAGCTTATCCTTTGTCAGAATCCACATATAAGAGGTCATGGGAAAAATTTCCTCCAAATTCTTACATGTTTAAACTTTTGCACTTTAATGACAAACCATCCAGGCCTGAATCTTCCAATCTGTGGGAAGGCTCTTGATGACTGATGCAGTTTCTTTAGTGCTTGTGAGAGTTTTCATATTTTCTATTTTTTTCTTGAGTGTTTGTTTTGTAGATTAAAATTTTCTAATAATTTATTTCATTTGATTTTTCAGTTTTGGGCATAATGTTTATCAAAATTAGCATCATATTTTCAAGGTTTCAGGATTTGTAATGAGGCCCCCTTTTTTCTTACATAGATTCATGTTGAGAGAGTTGCACCAATTTTATTAATTCTTTGAAATAACCAAATTTATAGTTTTGACTTGCTCTTTTGTATGTTCAGTTTTTATTTCATTAATTTCTGTTCCTTCCTTTATTATTTCCTTCCTTCCACTTTCTTTAAGTCTGTTGTGCTCTTCATAACTTACCAAATGGATGGTTAGCTTATTAGTTCTTCTGGAAATAAAAGATCCATTGGGAGAGTAAATTTAAAATCCAAACAGATAAGAGCCATTAAAGGAGTGGTGAATTGGCCCTGAAGATCTACCACCACTTTTCCCCTAGAGAAACTCACTGATTCTGAGCACAGTGATAAAAAAGAGGTAGTTGAGTATTACCAAACTGAAAACCAGCACTGACCCAGCTTAATATCTGCTATTCTATCAGACCCAGAGAGGAAAATGTTAAGTTCTCTCTGGTGGAAGATACCACTATCTAGAACCTCTTCAGTTCTTTTGTACACAATGTCCAGCACACAATCACTATTACTAGTAACTTGGAGAGGCATTACCATATGACAAATAACAAGAGGAAAAAACAGAAACAATAGAAGTAGACCCACAGATGATACCAAACAATGAAGGCATACAAGAATTCCAAAATAACTATTGATGGAAGTGTTTAAAAAACAGATGAGGGACTTCCCTGGTGGTCCAATGGTAAAGAATCCGCCTTCCAATGCAGAGGATGTGGGTTCGATACCTGGTTGGGGAACTAAGATCCCACATGCTGCGGGGCAACTAATCCTGCACACCACAACTACTGAGCTCACATGCCTCAACGAGAGAGCCCATGTGCCACAAACTACAGAGCCCATGCACCCTGGAGCCCACGTGACACAACTAGAGAAGAGAAAACTTGCACACCACAACTAGAGAGAAGCCCGCACACCACAATGAAGAGCCTGCATGCAACTAAGACCTGACGCAGTCAACAAAAGAAAAATAAAATAAATTAAATTAAAATTTTAAAAAACAGGGACTTCTCTGGTGGTCCAGTGGTTAAGAATCTGCCTTCCAATGCAGGGGACGTGGGTTTGATCCCTGGTCGGGGATCTAAGATCCCACATGCCGAGGGGCAACTAAGCCCGCATGCTGCAACTACTGAGCCTGCTCACTCTGGAGCCCACACACCACAACTAGAGTGAAGCCTGCTCACCTCAACGAAGAGCCCACGTGCTGCAATGAAAGATCCCACATGGCAAAACTAAGACCTGACACAAGCAAAAATAAAATAAATAAATAAGAATAAATTAATTAATTAAGACATAAAAAATAGTAATAAAAAGACAGTAAATAAAAGAATTGCAACAGGTAACTGGAAGTTATAAAAGACAATCAAAGTGAATTTCTAGAGAGAGAAGTTCTCAAAAGATCTAACGTAGGTATAACTGGAATCCCAGAGGAGAGGAGAGAACAGTCAAGTATTGTCCAAAAACTGAACAAAGACACTTCTGAGTAGAATCTATCAAATCACTGAAAGCCAACATTTTCACTGCTATAACAGAAAATACTCAAAAAGATAATGATCTTAACTCATTCTACCACTGTAAAAATTACAAAGGCTCATCTGTAATAAAGAGAAAACCAGGACTCTATGTTACCTGTTCTCCATGTAGGTGGATTGGCAATTAAAATAGAATATTTATTGACATTATGAAAATACACATAATTTGACATTTGTTTTCTTTGCCAGTAGTTATGCAGAAAATTCCCAGAATTCAATCCTTTGGTCGTTTAGAAAAAGCAACTGCAGGATGGATCAGAAGGAGGTAGGAAGGTAAATGAAGGACAGAGAAGATTTAGGTGCTGTCATGATGCAGAGCAACTAAGCCCATGCGCCACAACTACTGAGCCTGCACTCTAGGGCCCGTGAGCCACAACTACTGAGCCCGCGTGCCACAACTACTGAAGCCCGTGCACCTAGCCCATGCTCCACAAGAGAAGCCACCGCAATGAGAAGCCTGTGTACTGCAACGAAGAGTAGCCCCCGCTCGCCACAACTAGAAAAAGCCCGCGTGCAGCAACAAAGACCCAACGCAGCCATAAATTAATTAATTTTTAAAAAAGATTTAGGTGCTGAATGAAGGTGCTTATTTCAATCTAACAAAGCCCAAAATAGTCCTTTGAGAATATGGAGAAGAAATTTCGCTAGTTTCTTGGCACAGAGCATAAAATATACAGTAGAAAAAGTGGATATTCCAGATAGCAGATTCTACATTACTTCAGGCAGATGTCCTTACCCAGTGATATCAAGTTAGTATAATTCTCCAACATCACATCTCTGTACAAATTCTTCTGATCTGAGTTTAGGCATTCCCACTCCTCCTGAGAGAAGTCTATGGCAACATCACTGAATGTCACTGGCACCTGAAATGACAAATTCATGTATTATTTGTAAAAGTAGAAAAAAAATTTCAAGATGGAATATTGAGTTGCAGTAGGGGCTGATATATAAAAACAAGTAGGCTGAAGTTAAAGGTCATGACATGGGTAGATGAGAATAAATAATAAATAAATTAGCATATCTGAAGTAGAGTCCCTACCCAATCTTGAAGAATCCTGTTGGAGCACAAAAAATTTCTTTAATTTTAATTTTCAAATTTTTCTTTAACCTCTTCCCCACAGTTCAGTATTATCCACCAGATGTGGTTCTCATCTTCCCTTTCTACAATCCCTTACTGAACTTCTGGTTCTTGAGTTAGAACACACTAATGTAGAATGATCCAGAACAACACTGAATGGCTCAAGCCAAGCAATCTCTCTTCCCCTACAAAATGGGCCTCAGAACCCTATTCACTTCTCAGTGATTCCTTAGCCAGAACCCCTCCTCTCTCTAGGCAGGCATCAATCCCATTTCAACCCAAACCTAAAAGCTTTTCAAAGCTGAGATCTCATCTCACACTGAGACTGAGACCATTCGAAACCTAATTCTCCCTTATCTACCTGGAAAACTATGGAGAAAGTTCTCCCTCTTCTGGTCAAATAGGACCACCATTTCTATACTATGAAACTACAAACCTAACAAGGAGAGCTAAAATACTTCCTTCAAGGTACTTCACCCCTTTACTGCTCCAACACTGCTCTCGAGAGAAGACTGAACATATAGAAGAGGAATAAATCATTTGATGAAAAACTGAAAAAGTTTGAAAAAGGAGCAAACAGGGAAGACACCATCCTTCTCTGTAAAGGCAGCAACTGTGAAACAGGCTGAGATACAGCTTTCCTAGGAAGGAGGTTTTGGGATAAAAAATGAAAATATTATCTGAATTAAAAATTGTAATATTTCAGGAAGGACAGACATCCACTTACCCAGCCCATGGTTGTAGAACTGCCAATCATCCTCAGAAGCTGAGTCCAGAGAAACCAGAGCTGAGGGAGGAAAAAGAAGCCTTGAGACCCAATGTAGCTCAGAACTCCCAAAATTAAGGTAAGAGAGCCTTTCTTTTTTCTTCTTTATTCCTGTTTCTCACCATCCTTGCCCACTCTCTGCCCTCCCAGACACATAAACACATGTCAGAGGATATGAGACAGAGTCCAGACAAACTCAAACCCTTTCCTGTGTCTGGGAAACAAGCCTCACAAGCGTGGATACAGAGCAGAGGCTCTCTTGAACCAAAGCCAGATACAGACACGTCCCTCTGGCCTATTTCTCATTCTGATCATGCCAGATGTACCCAGCTTGGGTTGTCCAGTCACACTAAGTAGATCCTCCCCAATTCAGCCCTACGTTCCAGGGTTGAGACCAGGCCATACAACACAAACTTCAACAACCTTCATGTCCTCAAGGTGGACCTGGACTCTGCCAGACAAAAGGCAGAAAACAGGGACTTCCCTGGTGGCGCAGTAGTTAAGAATCCACCTGCCAGTGCAGGGGACACGGATTCGAAGAATCCGTTTGGGAAGATCCCACATGCCGTGGAGTAACTAAGCCCGTGAGCCACAACTACTGAGCCTGTGCTCTAGAGCCCTTGAGCCACAACTACTGAGCCCATGTGCCACAACAACTGAAGCCCATGTGCCTAAAGCCCGTGCTCTGCAACAAGAGAAGCCACCGCAATGAAGAGTAGCCCCCACTCGCTGCAACTAGAGAAAGCCTGCGCGCAGCAAAGAAGACCCAACGCAGCCAAAAATAAAAATAAATAAATTTTTTAAAAAAGACAGAAAAGAGTAGGGACCAACCTGGAAAACTTGGCCACCATAAAACTGCCCATGTGAAGCCTGAACTTGACTCCAAGGTCCTCTGGGCTGACCAACCTGGATTTCCCTATCAGGATCCACATAGATATTTGTAACCTTCTATGTGATAGCTGCGCTATACACATTAACATTTAATCCTGAAATGTACTTATTAACTCAATTCAACAGATGAGGAAATAAAAGCTCAAAGAAGTAAAGGTATTTTCCCATATCACAAACTATAAGTAGAAGTGATGTTTTCAATCACATTTCTATAATTATAAAGTCAACTTTTTTTTGAACTGTTGTCTCTGACACCCAGATTTTTTGTTTCATTATATGATACCCGAACATAAATAATTAAGACAGTACCTGTCAAAAGATTTACTAAAGAGATGTTTTAAAGCAACAAAGATAGTACAATTTTACAGGTATTCAACTGTCAGATTTTAAAAGTTGATGATACCCCACATATTAGTAAGGCTGTAGGGAA